TCAGGTTACCCATAAAGAGAAACCTATCAGACTCACAGCAGATCTCTCAGCTGAAACCCTACAAACCAGAAGAGAGTGGGGTCAATATTCAATATCCTCAAAGAAAAGAATTTTCAACCCAGAATCTCATATCCAGCCAAATTAAGCTTCATAAATGAAGGAAAAATAAAATTTTTCACGAACAAGCAAGCACTCAGATTTCATTACCACCAGGCCTGCTTTACAAGAGCTTCTGAAAGAAGCTTTCTGTGTATCAGAAAGGAACAACCAGTATCAGTCATTCCAAAAACTTACCAAAACGTGAAGAGTATCTCCATAATGAAGAATCTATATGAACGAATGGGCAAAATAGCCAGCTAGCATTAAATGACAATATTAAACTCACAAATATCAATATTAATCCTAAACTTAAATGGATTAAATGCCCCAATCAAAGACACAGGCAAATTGAATAAAAAGTCAAAACTCATAGGTTCGCTGTATCTAGATCCATCTCATAAGCAAGGACACACAAAGACTCAAAACAAAGGGTTGGTGGAAGACTTACCAATCAAATGCAGAGCAAAAAAAAAGAAAGAAAGAAAGAAAACAGGAGTTGTAACTTTCGTCTCTGACAAAATAGACTTTAATAGTAACAAAGACTAAAAGAAACAAAGAAGGACATTACATAATGGTAAAAGGATCAATGCAACAACAGGAGTCAATAATCATAAATATATATGCACCCAATATAGGAACACCCAGATACATAAGACAAGTTCTTAATGACTTATAAACAGACTTGGACTCCCGCACAATAACAGCGGGAGACTTTGACACCACATTGTTAGTATTCAACGATTCAGCGAGATAGAAAATTAACAGGGACATCTATGATTTGAACTCAGACCTGGAACAAGTAAACTCAGTGAATATTTATAGAATTCTTCAACCCAGGTCCACAGAACATACATTTTTCTCAGTATCATATTGCACCTATTTTGAAAGTGACCGCATAATTGGAAGTAAATCACTCTTCAGCATTTGCATAGCATTTCACAGATTTAAATGAAATATTGGTTGGCTGTTTGTTATTTTCTTCCCTTATTCCTTCCTGTCTCCGCTGTTAAGCACAATTATCGGCATAAAAGACGTTTTTAATACCTATTTTTAGAAGGCATTCCAGCCTGGGCAATAGAGCAAGACTCTCCCCCTTTCTCTTTCTCTCTTTCAAAAAAAAAAAAAAATTTTTTTTTTGAACAATGGGCAGAATTTATATAAGATCTAAAGATTAAATAATAGTATTACATCAAAGGGGGGGGGTGACCAGATGTCTCAATTTACCTAGGACAGTACTCATTTATATTTGTTTTCCTGTGAAGATTTTTTTTTTAACTTTTTGTGTTGATACACTGATGTGTAGATGTGCTTATTTTGGGGATACATGAGATAATTTGATACATTCATATAATGTGTAAAGATAAAATCAGGGTTTTGTGTAAATGATTAATAGTGCCTCCTGGCCAGGTGCACTGGCTTACACCTGTAATCCCAGCACTTTGGGAGGCTGAGGTAGATGGATCAGTTGAGGTCAGGAGTTTGAGACCAGCCTGGTCAACATGGTGAAATCCTGTCTCTACTAAAAATATAAAAATTAGCTGGGCATGGTGGTACATGCCTGTGATCCTAGCTACTCAGGAGGCTGAGGCATGAGAATCACTTGAACCCAGAAGGTGGAGGTTGCAGTGAGCTGAGATTGTGCCACTGTACTCCAGCCTGGATGACAAAGCAAGACTCTGACTCAAAAAAAAAAAAAAAAGTGCCTACTTTCGCCCTCAAAAGTAACCCATATAGGGGTCACCCATAAAGGGGAAAGTCTGCTGTGGGAATTTCTGAGAAATCTTTTGTCCTCCTCATAGAAGAGAACAGATGCAGACATCACCACCCTTCTCCCTTATACTATCATTTTATTTTGTGTGAAAGTTGCCAGAATCAAAATGGAGTCACAAATGTTTAAAAAAAGAAGAGCCCTGACAAATAGAGCCAGGGAGGGCCATGAAGAGAAGATTCTTATCCTTGTGTGCCTCATAACAAAAAGACTCTGGGCCGGGCACGGTGGCTCAAGCCTGTAATCCCAGCACTTTGGGAGGCCGAGGCGGGTGGATCACGAGGTCGAGAGATCGAGACCATCCCGGTCAACATGGTGAAACCCTGTCTCTACTAAAAATACAAAAAAATTAGCTGGGCATGGTGGCACATGCCTGTAATCCCAGCTACTCAGGAGGCTGAGACAGGAGAATTGCCTGAACCCAGGAGGCGGAGGTTGCGGTGAGCCGAGATCGCGCCATTGCACTCCAGCCTGGGTAACAAGAGCGAAACTCCGTCTCAAAAAAAAAAAAAAAAAAAAAAAGGCTCTGGAAAAATAATATCCTTGCACAGAATCCATCAAAAACTTCCATAAAAAACACTGCAAGAACATATGCCCCAGAACCGCCTTTCCAACCTAGGACTAATGTCATCCTTGTTATTGATCTTTGTGGCCAAATATAATTATTTTAAAACGATCGTGCAATCCACCTCTTTTCTTTAAAAACCTTTGTCTTCCTTTACCTCTCTGAATATGCACATAGTTTACTATGACACATATATTCACATTGCAATGCTCTATTCCCAAATAAATGTCTTTTTCTTTTAGAGAGCTTCCCTCTGTTTATTATTTAGGTTGACCTATATGGTTCACTTGAAATCTTAAGTGATGTCTGGATCTGCAGCAATCATCTTACAACCTTGAAGTGACAAGCTGGAAGAAAAGACCAGAAATGCACATAGACTTTAACCCTAACATAGATGAGTTATTGAAGCAGTACCAGTGACTACTTAACAAATCCTTTTTTTTTTTTTTTTTTTTTTTTTTTTGAGACAAGGTCTCACTCTGTTGCCCAGGCTGGAGTGCAGTGGCATGATCTCGGCTCACTCCAAGCTCTGTGTCTCAGGTTCGAGTGATTCTCATATCTCAGCCTCCTGAGTAGCTGGGACTGCAGGTGCACACTACCATGCCTGGCTAATTTTTGTATTTTTAGTAGCGACAGAGTTTGCCATGATGGCCAGGTTGGTCTCTTAGACCGCACCTGGCCTAAGAAAACAAACTCTTAACAAACTTAAAACAAACTTAAGTCATGCTACTATTTAAAGCCAGTTCTCCCACTTATGCACCAAACTCAATCATCTCTCAACCTTCTTGCCATCATTTCAGCAATTCTCCAATCTCTCTCCTACATCATGACTTGGACTAAGTACCCTGCATAATAACTGAATAGATCTACCCATATGTCCATCTTTGTGAAGTTTTAGAACACCTGCAATAAAAGATAAAGAGTCCAAATAAAATAAACATTTAGGTACTTATTTTCTAAATAGGGAGTCTAAAACCTTCCATAGAATAGGGACAAAAATGGCTCACACACAAAGGAACAAGAATCAAAATGTCATTAAGGTTCTTAATGGAGACAAGAAAGTGAAGCAATGTCTTTAAAATCCTGAAAGAAAATGATTTTCAACCCTAGAAGTCCATACTCAGCCAATCTATTATAAGAACAATAAGAACAGAGACCTTTTCTTTTTCTTTTTCTTTTTCTTTTTCTTTGAAATGGAGTCTCGCTCTGTCACTGCAATCTCGGCTCACTGCAACATCTGCCTCCCAGGTTGAAGAGATCTTCCTGCCCCAGCCTCCAGAGTAGCTGGGATTACAGGTATATGCCACCAAGCCCAGCTAATTTTTGTGTTTTTAGTAGAGATGGGGTTTTACCATGGGGGTTTTACCTCAGGTAATCCACCCACCTCAGCCTCCCAAAGTGCTGGGATTACAGGCATGAGCCAAAATGCCCAGCCAACAGAGACCTTTTCAAACATGCAAAGGCAGGCCAGGCACGGTGGCTCACATCTGTCTTTGGGAGGCCGAGGCAGGCGGATCATGAGATCAGGAGATAGAGACCATCCTGGCTAATACAGTGAAACCCCATCTCTACTAAAAATACAAAAAATTAGCCAGGCCTGGTGGCATGTGCCGTAGTCCCAGCTACTCGGGAGCCTGAGACAGGAGAATTGCTTGAACCCAGGAGGCAGAGGTTGTGATGGGTCGAGATTGCGCCACTGTACTCTAGCCTGGCGACAGAGTCAAAAAAAAAAAAAAAAAACATGCAAAGACTTGGCTAGTAAGAATTAGTTCTGTCAAAATAAGGGAGAAGCACATGCTCCAGGAAACAGGATTTCAGACTGCAGGAAAGATGTGTAGGGAAGTCCTCAAAAAATAATTGAGTAGCAGAACCAGAGAACAACCAGCACAACACAGAAACTGGAGGAGAAAGCTGTGAGAAGGAGATCTCCAGGGAGAGGGGGGAGGAGATCGAAACAGACAGATAAGTCTATAATCTATTTAATTATTTACAGAACACTACTGGTAGTGACAGAGCTGAAAAGAACAACCAAAAAAAAGTTAGGGTAAATAAAAACCTTTCAGGCAAAAAAGCAAGGCAATAATTAACTCCAAGAAAAACAAAAAAAGTTACTATAAAAGAAAAATACTTGATTAAATAGTTAATAATTGTCACATACTTAACTATATAAAATTTAACCAGAAATATGATAAAATTATATTCAAACTATGAGGAGAAAGGAAATAGGGAGGAAAGTGATGTTTTTTTAAAAAGCTAAATTTGCATTTACCATAACAGAAAGTCAATAGAGAATAGCTAAAATTAATAAAAAGTAACAGCATATTGTGTAGAAGTCCAGAGATAAATATCAGAAGAAATAGCTAAAAGTTGAGGCCATTTGGCTCTGATGAGCAGCAGTGAAGGATGAGGATAAGGGCAAGGGATTGCTCTTTTTCATTTTAAGCCTTTGAATATTAATTGAATTTTTAGCTATATATGTATACATTATTTTGATTTAAATTTTTAAAAATAATTTCTTTTTACAAAAGGAATAAACACATTGGGGGAAATAGACTGCTGGCAAAAATCGAAGAGAAAGAAAAATCAAATATTTATTAAAAGTAAATATTTACTTTTTTAATACAGACCCACTTCAAGTAAGGACAAACATACCAACAAATTCCTTAGTAATCTCTTCACGATAGATTATTACAGCATAAAACGATTATTCATATACATAAAGAAATGACATCAAAATAGGTTAAATTGTTTTCCATCTACTCTGTTTAATAAGGCAAGAATAAATAATTCACTTTGGAAATAGTCTCAGCAAAAAAGGGTTAATGTAGTAAAGATTCATCACCTAAAGAAATGATAAACTTTGGATATCTGAAATATAAACAATTTAGTCCTCCGATGATGCCAGATAAATGAATTTAGGCAAGAAAGCACACTGTTACAAAAAGCCTAGGTTCTAAATCAGGATTACTGAAACACTAACAACTAATTTCAGATTTTTGTCTTCATTTCATGAAGCACCAAGCCAGTTTTCTTTAGACTGCCTGTGCTGGTTTGGGCCAAGATCTAGTCAAAATGTAGTCTGCCAATGATGTAGGTAAGTAAGATAGAGGAATGAAAAAAAATTTCGCATCCCAGCCAGCTGAATATCGAGTTCGCGGATGCACTGATGTCAGAGCATGTTCCATGCAGTCAGTGACCAGGTTCAGGTTTGTGCTACACGTCAACAGCCCTTCCTTGATGATGTTGTAAACTGTATACAAAAAAAGAAATAGTGGTCAACAATCTTGTTCCTTATATTTTTAAGATCATGCAGTCACAGAAGTCTAACCACATCTAATTTCTACAAGATAGAATGATCTAGAACATGTTTCCCAATATGATAGCCACTAGCCACATATAGCTATTGTGCACTTAAACAATAGCTAGTGCACCAGCATGAAAACTAAATTTTGGATTTTATTTAATTTTAATTAAATTTTAAAACTCAATTTTTTCTTGTTTGGTTGTTTTTGGGATTTTTTCTTTTTCTTTTCTTTCTTTTTTTTTTTTTTTTTTGAGACAGGATCTTGCTCTGTCACCCAGGTTGGAGTACAGTGGTGCAATCTCAGCTCACAGCAACCTCCACCTCCCAGACTCAAGTGATCCTCACGCCTCAGCTTCCCACATAGCTGGGACTACAGGTATGCATCACCATGCCCAGCTAATTTTGTTTATTTTTTGTAGACACAAGGTCTCGATATGCTGCCCAGGCTGGTCTTGAATTCCTGGGCTCAAGCGATCCTCTCATCTCAGCCTCCCAAAGTGCTGGAATTATAGGCGTGAGGCACCATGCCTGGCCTTAAAACTCAATTCTGAGAGCTGGGTACAGTGGCTCATGCCTGTAATCCCAGCACTTCGAGAAGCCAACGCAGGTGGATCACTCAAGGTCAGGAGTTTGAAGCCAGCATGGCCAACATGGTGAAACCCCATGTCTACTAAAAATACAAAAATTAGGCATGGTGGTGCATGCCTGTTCACCCAATTACTCAGGAGGCTGAGACAGGAGAATTGATTGAACCTGGGAAGCAGAGGTTGCAGTGAGCCAAGATCGTGCCACTGCATGCCAGTCTGGGTAACAGAGTGAGACTCCCTCAAAAAAAAAAAAAAAGACTCAGTTCTGTTACTAGAAGATTTTTAAATATATTTAGAACAACACAGATATGGAAATCTACATTTTCAACTGAAAACTTTTTAACATTCTTGAGATATAATTCATATATCATAAAATTCAGCATTTAAAGTGTACAGATCAATAATTTTTAGTATATTCAGAGTTATATAATCAGCATCCCAAAAAGAAACTCTGTGCCTATTAGAAGTCATTCCCATTTTTCACCGCTGCTGCCACCTCCTCCTCCAGGTCTCCAGAATAATATTCTTACAGGAAATTGACCAGTCCTACCCCTACGAGACTCCTATCACCTGAACATGAGAAGTATAGTCTCTGGGAATGGCCCATAGGGCCCTGCAAAGACTTGTCCTCACTGACTTACCTCTTCCCACCTACACGCTTTCTCCTGTCACATTAAGACACACAGTTTGTGGACAAAGCCCTTTGTTATCAAAAGGGTAAACAATGATGAAGACTGCACTTTAGTTGAGCAGACATCTCACACCAGCCCTGCCATGATACCAAGGGGTGCCCCCTCTCAAGACCCAAAGGTTCCATGCCCTCTAAGTATGTAATACCTCCTAGTGCTCAAGTGGCCAGGCCCATAGAGGACAGGGCAGGAAAGACCCTGGCCCCAGGCCGTCTATATGTCCCCTTCCTCAACCATGACAGCCATCAGACTAAGTCCATCATGAGGGTGCTGGGACCTTTCTGATCTCCTTCTGTTCTGGGAAGGCTTTATTTAGGAAGCTTTGTTCTAAGAGGATCTGCCAATCATTGTCCACCAACCCTATTTTCCCCTTCTCATGCAAGGGTACTGATAGAGTTTGGGTTTGTGTCCCCACCCAAATCTCACCTTGAATTATAATCCCACAGTCCCCATGTGTCTCAGGAGGGACCTGGTGGAAGGTACTGAATCATGGGGATGGTTCCCCTATGCTGTTCTTGTAATAGTGAGTTCTCACAAGATTTGGTTGTTTTATAAGGGGCTTTCTGCTTGCATTCATTCCCTCTCCTGCTAACCTGTGAAGAGGTGTCTTCTGCCATGATTGTAAGTTCCCTGAGGCCTCCCCAGCCATGCAGAACTGTGAGTCAATTAACCCTCTTTTCTTTATAAATTACCCAGTCTCATATTTCTTCATAGCAGCGTGAGAATGGACTAATACAGGGTACCCATTATCCCTACCAAAAGACAAAAGCTTACAGGCATCAAAATACTGCTGTCCATAAGTCTCCTTAATATGCTTGGGGGCTTTCTCCCAGTTTTGCTTCACTCCCTCTAAGGACTGTGTCAGGTTTGTCATTCCCGTTCTGAAGTAGCCAGGTTCAACTATGCTGATCTTCACCCCAAAATGTCGAAGCTCACGCCTGAAATAAGACCCCACAAGTTATGATTAAAAACCACCACCATTTCAATGCTCTCAAGAAGGAAAAGCAAAACAAAAAAGATTATAAGAATACATTTACTGGAAAAGTCTGCACATGGTTGGCAGAGCCCGCAGGGCATTTTTCTGACCGGAATAATGGCTGCAGCTGGCTGGGCCGGCGAGGGCTCCCGGGGTAAGCCGCCGCCATCAGGGTTTCTGCCAGGCGCAGACAGCAGGCTCTACCCGGGATGCTCAAGGAAAGCCCTGCGTGTCAAGGCGGGGCCTGGTGCCGGCCCCGGGATCGAGTGGGCACGCCGCAGTCGCACCCAGGAGTTGCCCCGATGCGCCTCTAGGAGAAGCCTCGCGCCGCCACGGGCACCTCGGGACACAGCCCTGGTCCTTGGGGCTGTGCGGCTCACAGGACAGCGCAGAGTATGAGGCCAAATCCCGTCCTGCAGTCCCAAGCCTCTCTACTACCAGGGCTGAGTGGCTTCGCTAGGTAGAGAGCCGGCCCCTTTAACGGCAAACGACTTGACACTTCTGCCAAGCTCCAGCGAAGAAGAAGGGGAAGCTTGCGGTGCCTCCCCACCTCCCCGCAGGTACCTGGCGGAAACCAAACCGAGGGGTGCGGTGGCAAGGACAGGGTGCCTCGCAGGCTTGTGCAGGTCGGCCTCGGACCTGCGCTGCCTCAGGGTGTCAAGGAGGCCGGGGAGGGCAGCGTGGGCCTGTGAGGCCGGTGGGTGCCCGCACCCCTCTGCAGCCGGCTCCGCAGGGGTCCGTTCCAGTTCCGGGTTCGGATTGGGGTGCGCTTTCTCTGGTGCTTATTGCGGCCCGACGTTACTGCCTGACCACCGGAGCAGCCCTGGTGCTATGGAGGTAGCTGGGGCTGGTCCTGCCACAGGATTGTGGTAGCAGTGCCTGATGGTGTGAGACCAGATTCTAATCCTTACGGTTTTCCATGGGAATTGGTGATAGATGCAGCTCTTTCTGGATTTTTTGCTGTTCCCTTTTGTGTGTGTGTGTGGAGAAGTTTTAGACTGGTTAGGAGTGAGCTTTATGTGGAAAGAGAAAAAAAAGCTTGCTGTAATGCTTTCTGGACTAGTTGGAAAAAAATGTAAACTAATTGAAAATTTTAGCCTTGTTCAAAAAGAGTATGAAGGCCATGAAGTGGAGTCATCTTTAAAGAATGCCAGCTTTGAGAAGGAGGCAACAGAGGCACAAAGTTTGGAGGCAACCTGTGGAAAGCTGAACAGGTTCAATGTGGAACTTGAGGATAAAATACTCTGTCCAGAAAAAGAGTTAAAAGAAGAAAAATATAAACATTCTGAACAAGGTGAATTGATGGTGGATATTTCAAAAAGGATACAGTCTCTAGAAGATGAGTCAGAATCCCTCAAATCACAAGTAGCTGAAGCCAAAATGATCTTCAAGATATTTCAAATGAAGAACGACTGAAGATAGCATAAAAGATGCTTTGAATGAAAATTCTCAACTTCAGAAAAACCAGAAACAGCTTTTGCAAGAAGCTGAAGTGTGCAAAAAGTAAATGAGTGAACTTAATAAACAGAAAATAACGTTTGAAGACTCCAAAGTACACGCAGAACAAGTTCTAAATGATAAAATCACATCAAGACCCTGAACACTTGCTAAAGATGAAAGATTGGGCTGCTATGCTTGGAGAAGACAGAACGGATGATGATAACTTGGAGTTAGAAATGAACAATGAATTGGAAAATGGGGCTTACTTAGATAATCCTCTAAAAGGAGCTTTAAAGAAACTGATTCATGCTGCTAAGTTAAATGCTTCTTTAAAAACCTTAGAAGGAGAAAGGAACCAAATTATATTCAGTTATCTGAAGTTGGTAAAACAAAGGAAGAGCTTAGAGAGCATATTAAAAATCTTTAGACTGAACAAGCATCTTTGCAGTCAGAAAACACACATTTTGAAAGTGAGAATCAGAATCTTCAACAGAAATTTAAAGTAATGACTGAATTATATCAAGAAAATGAAATGAAACCCCACAGGAAATTAAGAATAGAGGAAAATTACCAGTTAGAGAAAGAAGAGAAATTTTCTAAAGTAGACAAAAAGATCAGCCATGCCACTGAAGAGCTGGAGACCTATAGAAAGCAAGCCAAAGATCTTGAAGAAGAATTGGAGAGAACTATCCATTCTTATCAAGGGCAGATTGTTTCCCATGAGAAAAAAGCACATGGTAATTGGGTTGGCAGCTCAGACTGCTGAAAGAAACCTCAATGACTTAAGGAAAGAAAATGCTCACAAAAGACAAAAATTAACTGAAACAGGGTTTAAATTTGAACTTTTAGAAAAAGATCTTTATGCACTTGATGTTCCAAATATACCATTTGGCAGAGAGCATTCCCCATATGGTCCTTCACCATTGGGTCAGGCTTCATCTGAAACGAGAGCTTTTCTCTCTCATCCAACTCTGTTGGAGGGTCCACTCAGACTCTCACCTTTGCTTCTAGGGGGAGGAGGAAGAGGCTCAAGAGGCCCAGGGAATCCTCTGGACCTTAAGATTACCAATGAAAGAGGAGACTCAAGCTTTGATATGTTAACCGATTCTCATAAGGCTCCTTCAAACACTGGATCCGTGTCACCTCCAAGGGAACAGGACCATAGGATGATGTTTCCTCCACCAGGACAATCATATCCTGATTCAGCTCTTCCTCCACAAAGGCAAGCCAGATTTTATTCTAATTCTGGTAGACTGTCTGGACCAATAGAACTCAGAAGTTTTGATATGGCTTTGGATAAAATGGATGGTCAATACCTTCCAAAATGGAATCCAGGAGAAATGATACCAAAGATGATCTTGGTAATTTCAATGCGCCTGATTCATCTCTCCCGGCTGAAGATGGAGCAACTGGCCCGGCTTTGTTCCTCCACCTCTTGCTCCATTCAGAGGTTCATTGTTTCCAGTGGATGCAAGGGGCCCGTTCATGAGAAGAGGACCTCCTTCCCCCCCACCTCTTCCAGGAACCATGCTTGGAGCTTCTCGAGATTATTTTCCACCAAGAGATTTCCCAGGTCCACCACATGCTCCATTTGCAATGAGAAACGTCTATCCACCGAGGGATTTTCCTCCTTACTTTCCCCCCAAGACCTGGATTTTTTCCTCCCACCCCTACATCCTGAAGATAGAAGTGAGTTCCCTTCAGGGTTGATTCCACCTTCAAATGAGCCTGCTATTGATCATTCAGAACCACAGCAAGAAACCTGACAATATTTTTGCCCTCTTCAAAAGTAATTTTGACTGATCTCATTTGCAGTTTAAGTAACTGCTGTTACTTAAGTGATTACACTTTTGCTCAAATTGAAGTTTAATGGAATTATAATTCTCAGGATAGTATTTTGTAAATAAAGATGATTTAAATATGAATCTTATGAGCAAATTATTTCCATTTTATTTTATTATAGATAGTATAATTATTTTAATTTGATTAATTAATCCATTATTATATAAACAATAGTGGGGGTTTAAGATACGTAATCTTGCAGGTGAGGAGGCTTTAAATTCTAAAGGCTGTGTCTGTGTCTTTATGCCAAGAACTGTATTTACTGTGATTGTAGACAAATGTGAAAGTAACTTTATGCTTAATTAAATAAATTTTAGTTGATTTAAAGACTTGTTTGGTATTGATAATGATAAAATCAAATAGTTTTTCTATTAAAAATACCTTTACTGAATATTTTAAAGGATAAAGAAATGGAGAGGAAAAAAATATATATATAAACATCTCTGGATCCAACAACTAGGAAATGATTATACCAACTATCATAACCATTCAATTCTAGAATCACTCATTTAATAAGGAGTTATTAAGTACCTACCACGTGCTAGACTCTGCGGGCATGAAGGATACAAATGACAATAAATAAAATTAACATTTATTATGACTGGCACTATGCTAACTGTCTCACATACACAATCTCAGAAGATTACGACTCAGTTCCTCATCTCAGAAAGGTGAGTCTAACACTTGGGTGAGTCCAACAAAGTAGGCAAATAATTACAATGCAACTCAGAAGAATTATGAAGGAGAGGCATTCAAGGGGCTATGAAAGTAGAAAGGAAGGTACAGACAGATTTTCTGAGGGAGTCAGGGAAGGCTTCAGTGAGGAGAAAAATATTTCAGTTGAGTCTTTTTTTTTTTTTTAGATGGAGTTTCACTCTTGTTGCCCAGGCTAGAGTGCAATGGCGCCATCTCAACTCACTGCAACCTCCGCCTCCCAGGTTCAAGCGATTCTCCTGCCTCAGCCTCCCGAGTAGCTGAGATTACAGGCATGCACCACCACGCCCGTCTAATTTTGTATTTTTAGTAGAGACAGGGTTTCTCCATGTTGGTCAGGCTGGTCTCAAACTCCTGATCTCACTGTGATCCACCCACCTCAGCCTCCCAAAGTGCTGGGATTACAGGTATGAGCCACCAGGCCCAGCCTACATTTCAGTTGAGTCTTAAAGCAGGGATCCCCAACCCTGGGGTATGGACCGGTACATCCACAGCCTGTTAGGGACTGGGCTATACAGCAGGAGGTGAGCAGTGGGCCGAGCCAGCATTACTGCCTGAGCTCCACCTCCTGTCAGGTGAGTCAGACATTAGAGTCTCATAGGGGCATGAATGCTATTGTGAACTGTGCACGTGAGGGATCTAAGTTGCATACTCCCTGCAAGAATCCTGAGGTGAAACAGTTTCATTCCGAAACCATCTCTTTCTTCCCACCACCCCCACCCTGGACCATGAAAAAACTGTCTTCCACAAAACAGGTCCCTGGTGCCAAAAAGGTTGGGGACCATGATGTTAAAGGATAAAAGGAAATTTCCAAGTAAAGAAAAGGGAAGAATAAACAAACCAGGCAATGGGAATTGCACATGCAAAAGCATGGGCCTGTGGAAAATTACAGTGTGTTCAGACTACGAGATCACTCATGAAACATGATGTGAGCATTAGAATGACAAATTCCAGGATATTCAAGTTAGTTCAACAAACAGTTTCAAAAATACTTATCAAGGGCTGACTATGGGCTAAGTACTACTAAGTGCTGCCTACATCGAGTGAAGTAAGATGGCATTGTGCACCATGGCAGAGGTATACTCTAGGGGATCTAGGGACAATGATGAGGAGTGTTCCCTAAACTATAGGTTCAGGCAGCCTTGCTGGAGAACATGAAGCTCAAGCTGACAGTAAGGAGAAACATTTGAAATAATGGTCCATAAGTAGGCAGACCACAAAGCCTTATGACCTCTAAGCAGTGGTTCTCAAAGTGTGGACCCTGGATCAATGGTATCATCAGCATCTGGGAACTTTTTAGAAACGCAATGTATTGGGCCCCAGACTAGACTTACTAAATAAGAAATGCTAGGGGTGAGACTCAATAATGTGTGTGTGTTTTTTGTTTGTTTGTTTGTTTGTTTGTTTGTTTTTGAGGAGGAGTTTCGCTCTTGTTACCCAGGCTGGAGTGCAACGGCATGACCTCGGCTCACCGCAACCTCCGCCTCCTGGGTTCAGGCAATTCTCCTGCCTCAGCCTCCTGAGTAGCTGGGATTACAGGCACGTGCCACCATGCCCAGCTAATTTTTTTTTTGTATTTTTAGTAGAGACGGGGTTTTACCATGTTGACCAGGATGGTCTCAATCTCTTGACCTCGTGATCCACCCACCTCGGCCTCCCAAAGTGCTGGGATTACAGGCTTGAGCCACCACGCCCGGCCAATAATGTGTTTTAACAAGCCTTCCAGGTGACTCTGAGGCATGCTAGAGTTTAAGAATCACTCACTGTTCTAAGGGAAAAGCCTCACTTACGAAACCAAAACCTTTATAAAACCTTCCATGTTAAAGCTTCAAAAAGTGTCTCCAGGTGCCCGTATGTAATGGAGACGAGAGAAGGGCTTTCAGCCAAAGGTGACTCTCCTCCTTTAAATTTCAATTCTCCTTAGAGTTTTCTCACTGTGATTCCTACCACCTTTCATCTCCATTCTCCTTTAACACTCCAATGCAAATGTAGAACAAAACTTCTTTTCCCTTTTTATCCTGAGGCACTGCTAGGGTGAAGTTGAATTTTCTAAAGGAATTACATAGTGTTTTGAATGTTGGAAGGATATATCTTTGACCTTAGTCTGGGAATGAGTCAAGGAGTCTGAGAGACCAGCCCTCGGTGGTGGTAAATCAGTAAGCAGCAGTCCTGTGGCAGTACCCAGAACATCAGATAGGTGGGAAGCCAGGTGAGGTGCCTACCACATGGTAACAACTCATGTAATCTCTTGGCTATTTCTCTGTTTTCTCCCTAGGCATATAACACTCACATTATAACACTTATATACCAGTCATGGTATGTGGTAGGCTAAACAATGGCTCGCAAAGAGATCAGGTCCTAATTCCTGTAAATGTTACCTTATGTAGCAAAGACTTTGCAGGTGTGATTAAGTTAAGGCTCTTGCTATAGGGGGTTATCCTAGATTATCTGCATGGGCCCTAAATGCAATCACAAAGATCCTTGTAAGAGAAGCGGAAGTGGATCTGATGACTGACAGAAGAGGAAAAGGCAATGTGACCGTGGAGGCAGAGATTGGAATGATGTAGCTGCAGCCAAAGAATGCTGGCAGTGACCTGAAGCTGGAAGAGGCAAGAAATGGATTCTCCCATAGCGATTTCAGAAGGAATGTGGCCCTGTCAACATTTTTGGCCCAGTGATACTGATTACGAACTGATTACCAAAAAAAAAAAAAAAAAGTGTTGTTTTAAAACACTATAACCATAAACTACCTATGATAATTTATTACAGCAGTCATAGAAAATCAATACATGCTGCCTTTAATATTCACAGCCCATTTCCAAGTGAAACTGTCCAAAAGTCAGCCCCTGCTAAAGAGGAGTGTGGGCAGCAATATTTTGAACCGTGTTACTACAGCCTCATGTCCACAGCTGATTGGACCAGGAAGGGGACTTGATAGAAGGAGAGCCCCTCATAAGGCTGAACAATGGCTCTGCCTGTGATTACCAATATAGCTATGGACAAATTACTAAACCTCTGTGCCTCAGTTTCCTCAGATGTACAATAAGAATATGTACAATAAGAATAAAAATAATGCCTTCTTCATGGGGTTGCTATGAAAGTTAAATGATTTAATGAATGGAAAGTACTTACAGCAGTGCCTTACCCATAATCATGTACAAAAATGTCACACAGTGTGGTGTCACCTGGCACACACAAAAAAATGAACTCAGCCAATAGAATTCTCTCTCAAGAAGTATAATATAAGGAAAATAGACTGTGTGCAGTGGTGCAGGACTGTAGTCCTAGCTACTCAGGAGGCTAAGGCAGGAGGACAGCTTGAGTCCAAGAGTTCAAGGTTATAGTAAGCTATGATCATGCCTGTGAATAGCCACTGTACTCTAGCCCAGGCACTATAGTGAGACTCTGTCTCTTAAAAATAAATAAATAGGCTGGGCACGGTGGCTCATGCCTGTAATCCCAGCACTTTGGGAGGCCGAGGCAGGCAGATCATGAGGTCAGGAGTTTGAAACCAGCCTGGCCAATATAGTGAAACCCCATCTCTACTAAAAATACAAAAATTAGCTGGGCATGGTGGCACATGCCTGTAATCCCAGCTACTCAGGAGGCTGAGGTAGGAGAATAGCTTGAACCCAGGAGGCAGAGGTTGCAGTGAGCCAAGATTGCACCACTGCACTCCAGCCTGGGTGACAGTGTGAGACTCCATCTCAAAATAAATAAATAAATAAGCCAGGCACAGTGGCTCACACCTGTAATCCCAGTACTTTGGGAGGCCAAGCTGGGCAGATTACATGAGGTCAGGAGTTTGAGACCAGCATGGTGAAACCCCATCTCTGCTAAAAATACAAAAATTAGCCAGGTGTGGTGGCACACGCCTGTGGTCCCAGCTACTTGGGAGGCTGAGGCACAAGAATCGCTTGAACCTGGGAGGCAGAGGTTGTAGTGAGCCAAGATCACATCACTGCACTCCAGCCTGGGTGACAGAGCAAGACTCTGTCTCAGAAAGTAAATAAATACACACATATACACACACATATATGATACACACACATATATACGGGAGGGTGGGTACTACAAAAAGAATAAAGCAGTTAGTGGAAGGACATGAAACTGAACCAATAGGCCTAGCCAGGCACGGTGGCTCATGCCTGTAATCCCAGCACTTTTGGAGGCTGAGGCACGAAGATCACTTTAGCCCAGGAGTCTGAAACTAGCCTGGGCAACATAATGAGACTCCATCTCCACAAAGTACAAAAAATTTGCTGGGTATGGTGGCATGCACCCATGGTCCCAGCTACCAGGCAGGCTGAGGTGGAGGATCGTTTGAGCCCAGGAGGTTGAGGCTGCAATGAACCATGATTACACAACTGCATGATTACACAGCCTGGGCAACAGAGTGAGACCCTGTCTCAAAAATAAAAAATAAATCTTGAGAATTAAAGTGTGACATAGTGGTAGAAGACAAAGACCTGAGGTCAAAACACAGTTCTGCCAAATTCTGGCTATGACAGGTGAATTTGGGAAAGATATGTAAATCTGAGCCTGTTTTATACATAAAATAGACTAGTAATAATATCTATGTATCAAGATTTGAGGACTGATACAATAAGATAAGCCTAGGTGAAAGCAACTAGCACAATGCCTAAGACATATTTCAGTGCTCAATAGTTGTTCTTGTTTTAACTTAAGAGAGTTACCTCAGAATATCTGAAAAGGCTTCCACTCCAAACTTGGAGACACAGTAGACTCCTGCAAAGGAAGCAATTCTTCCCAGAATGCTGGAGACATTGACAATCCTTCCCCGTGCTCGCCTCACCAAGGGGAGCATGCTCAACGTCACGTGGATCACACCAATGAGGTTCACTTTGAGGATATCCGTAGAGTCGTCAATACTCAGCCACTCACATAAGGAAACTGATTTAATAATGCCTGCATTGTTCACCAGTCCCCAGAGTCCTAAAACAAAAGTCATATCAAGAGTTTGGTTTCAGGCAAAAATATTCTACTTTGAACTTAGGTGGGGAAAGAATCACTCTTGAGGAATCATAACCACTAACTACCCCCATGAGAGTTTGCAGCCCAAATTATATGACATATAAGTTTGCTAAATATAATTTTAAAATAAAAAAATTGAAAATATTAATAAAAATACTATAAAATTGATCAAGCAAGGGCAGGGCACAGTGGCTCACGCCTGTAATCCCAGTACTTTGGGAGGCTGAAGCAGGCGGATCACAAGGTCAGGAATTCAAGACCAGCCTGGCCAACATGGTGAAAACCTGTCTCTATTAAAAGTACAAAAATTAGCCAGGTGTGGTGGCAGGCGCCTATAATCCCAGCTACTTTGGAGGCTGAGGCAGGAGAATTGCTTCTAGCTGGAAGGCGGAGGTTGCAGTGAGCCAAGGTCGAGCCACTGCACTCCAGTCTGGGCAAAAAAGTGAAACTTTGTCTCAATAAATAAATAAATAATTGATCACGCAGATTTGAGAAAGAACCAAATAAAACTTCTCAAAATAAAAGATGCAACTATTGAAATTTTAAAATTTGGTAGACCAGTTTAATAGCAGATAGACATAGTGGACGAATGAAAGTACCAAACCGGAAGACAGTAAAGAAAAATATATAGACTATGGCATAAATATACAAAGAGCTGAAAAACATGAAAGAAAAGGGAGGCAAGACCAAAGTAAAAACATGTAACATATGTCTAATCAGATCCAAAAATAAGGGAGGCAAATGGAATAAAGTCAATATTTGAAGTAATGATGGCTAAGAATTTTCCAGAACTGATAATGCACAGATTCAAGAAGCCACCCCCCCAAAAAAATCCCAAGCAGTATAGACAGAGAAATCCATACCTAGATACACCAACATAAAAATCAAAGAAAGAGAATATCCTTCAATACCCAGAAAGAAAAGACAGATTATTTTCTTTTTTTTTTTTTTTTTTTTTTTTTTTTGAGACGGAGTTTCACTCTTGTTACCCAGGCTGGAGTGCAATGGCGCGATCTCGGCTCACCACAACCTCCGCCTCCTGGGTTCAGGCAATTCTCCTGCCTCAGCCTCCTGAGTAGCTGGGATTACAGGCACGTGCCACCATGCCCAGCTAATTTTTCGTATTTTTAGTAGAGACGGGGTTTCACCATGTTGACCGGGATGGTCTCGATCTCTCGACCTCGTGATCCACCCGCCTCGGCCTCCCAAAGTGCTGGGATTACAAGCTTGAGCCACCACGCCCGGCCTAAGACAGATTATTTTCAAAGGAAAAACGAATAGGCTAACAACTGACTCATGAAGACACAAACAACAAGAGACAGACGACTGCAATGGTGTCTTCAATGTATCAAGAAAAAGTAATTGTGAGCATAGAATAGCCTATCCGCAAAAACAGCTTTCAAAAATGAGGGTAAATAAAGACATTTTAAGAAATTTCTTTTCTTCGCTCAGCCACCCAGGTTGGAGTGCAGTGGCATGACCTCGGCTCACTGCCACCACCGTCTCCTGGGTTCAAGTGATTCTCCTGTCTCAGCCTCCCAAGTAGCTGAGATTACAGGCACCTACCATCATGCCCGGCTAATTTTTGTATTTTAGTAGAATTAGGCTTTCACGATGTTGGCCAGGCTGGTCTTGAACTGACCTCAGGTGATCTGCCCACCTCAGCCTCTCAAAGTGCTAGGATTGTAGACGTGAGCCACCATGCCTGGCCAAGAAATGTTTTTTAAAAGGAAAGATTTTGTCCCAGCACCTTCTAAATTCTAAATTCTATATTCTTAGATATATATTCAGTAACAAAGAAAGAAATTTTAGATGGAAAATTCAAGAAGGAACAATGAGAAAAGAAAAAGATAAAAAGAGAATAAATTTAAGCAAACGTTACATATTGGAGAGACAAAAAACAGAACTGAAAGCCGGGCGCGGTGGCTCAAGCCTGTCATCCCAGCACTTTGGGAGGCTGAGGCGGGTGGATCACGAGGTCAAGAGATCGAGACCATCCTGGTCAACGTGGTGAAACCCCGTCTCTACTAAAAATACAAAAAATTAGCTGGGCATGGTGGCGCGTGCCTGTAGTCCCAGCTACTCAGGAGGCTGAGGCAGGAGAATTGCCTGAACCCAGGAGGCGGAGGTTGCGGTGAGCCGAGATCGCGCCATTGCACTCCAGCCTGGGTAACAAGAGCGAAACTCCGTCTCAAAAAAAAAAAAAAAAAAAAAAAAGTAATAATATAAATGAAGTGCACAATAAATGTAATGAACTTGAATCATCCCGAAACCATCCCCACCCACTGTCCATGGAAAAACTGTCTTCCACAAAACTGGTGCCTGGTACCAAAAAGGCTGGGGATGGCTGCCCTAAACAATACAGTATAACTATTATTTATGTATCATTTACATAGTATTTAGTATTTTATGTAACCCAGGGATGATTTAAAGTATCCATTACCTTAAAGGATGTGCCTAGATTGTAACTACACTGTTTCATATAAGGGATTTGAGCATCCTCAGATTTTAGTATCCACAAGCAGTCCTTGAACCAATCCCCAACAGACACCAAGGAACAACTGTATCTATATCCTTAGCATCTTCATGCCTAAGTACATGAAAGGAGAAAATATTTCATACCTCTGTCCCCTACATGCTCCTTTACCCACTGGGTAGCTGTAGCGATGCTTTCTGTCTTGGTAACATCCAGAGTCACTGTCTCCAGCCTGTCAGATGTCTGGCGCCTCAGCTGCTCGGCTCCTTTCTCCGTCAGACACGCAGCCAGCACTCTCAAGCCTCGTGCATCCAGCTGTCTGGCCAGCAGGTTCCCAAAGCCGGAGTCACAGCCGGTGATAAAGACAAATTTGTCTCTCAGGTCACTCACCACCTGCCTCTCCCGGTACCAGCGCAGAAGGTAGTACAGGCCCACGAAGGCCACCAGGTAGAGCCACATGGTGAGGGTGCGTCCTTCTCTTTTAATAAAAAGAAAACATCTTTCATTTTATTCCTTCCTTTTTCTTTAACCAATATATCTATTTAGTATTCACCATGTGCCAGGTATTGCAATAGGTGGTAGGGACTCTTTTTTGACTAACACTTGGTCCTACCCTCAAGGAGCCACAGGCTAGAGAGGGAAGTTCGCGAGGTAACCAAACAAATCCAACGCAGTGTGAAAGGTGCCATAACAGAAGTATACACGCAGTCTACAAAGGAAGATGACCGATGGCCTATCACAGAAGCAATGATTTTGGTACTACTTCCTACAGGATAGGTAAGTTCAAAAAGTGGACAAGGATGACCACATTCCAGGCAGTAACAACGTGTACATGATGAGAGTCATGAGCAGCACAAAACTTCTTGAGACCTATAAGCAATTCTGCTGTGCAGTGCAGAACATGCAGAGGAAGAGACTGGAGATGAAGTGGCAAAGGGCCAAATCTTGAAGGGCCTTATAAGCCACACTATGGAATCTGAATGTTATCCTATGGACAGAATATGCTACTAAAAGACATTAAACTGTAGAGTCAGGTAGCCAGATTAAGTTTTAGAAAGATCTGTCTCACAGTGGCAGTGGAGGATAGATGAAATGGGTGTGGTGAAGGCAGGGAGATCCATTAGGAGATCCAATAGTTTGGGTGAGATATTTCGGCCAAAGCAGTTTGTAAATCTAGACTAATCAGAAGCATTGTTGAAATGAGTGTTCACAGATGCCTATGTTTCTATATGAAATTCTGGATAAAAATCCACCACTTTTTGGTAATCCGTACATGTTGGCAGAACTAACATAATTCATAACAATATAGGTAGAGCTCAAAGATGGGTGTGGGCCCACTAGCATCATAAGGCCTATACCACAATGCCTGCATGAGGTGAGTCTATGCAATTCAAACTCCTTAGTTTGACATGAATGCCCCAGCACTCTGGCTACTGGCTTAGGCTTCTCTCCTGCATCCTACTCTTTAGCCATAACAAACAACTTTCAGTCCCCTGCAAAGCACAGGCTTTTTATGCCTCTGCACACAATTCTTTCTACTTGAAAGCAGCAGCCCTCATCTACTTGGTAAATAACACTCATCTTTTTTTTCCTTTTTGAGACAGAGTTTCACTCTTTTTGCCCAGGCTGGAGTGTAATGGCACAATCTCAGCTCACTGCAACCTCCACCTCACAGGTTCGAGTGATTCTCCTGCCTCAGCCTCCTGAGTAACTGGGATTACAAGTATATGCCACCACGCCTGGCTAATTTTGTACTTTTAGTAGAGACAAGGTTTCGCCATGTTGGCCAGGCTGGTCTTGAACTTCTGACCTCAGGTGATCCACCCACCTTGGCCTCTCAAAGTGCTGGGATTACAGGCATGAGCCAGCCATAATGTTCATCTTTTAAGACTCAGCCTAATCATCAATTTCATTCAGCAAACATTAATTCAACATCTACTTGAGTTAGACACAGTGTTAGGCACTGATACACAACAGTGAACAATATATAGTCCATTCTTCATTGAATTCACAGTTTTATGAAGACTAACAACAATGCATTATAACAGAAGTAAAAACAGGAGGCTGCTGGAACACTCAGGAGAGGCTTCTAAGGCATTCTAGAGAGGTCTGAGAAGCTTCCTAGAGAGAAAAAAATGTAAGTTGAGATCTACAGGAATATTAGTCCACTTTCACACACCTATAAAGATACTATCCGGCCGGGCGCGGTGGCTCAAGCCTGTAATCCCAGCACTTTGGGAGGCCGAGGTGGGTGGATCACGAGGTCGAGAGATCGAGACCATCCTGGTCAACATGGTGAAACCCCGTCTCTACTAAAAATACAAAAAATTAGCTGGGCATGGTGGCGCGTGCCTGTAATCCCAGCTACTCAGGAGGCTGAGGCAGGAGAATTGCCTGAACCCAGGAGGCGGAGGTTGCAGTGAGCCGAGATTGCGCCATTGCACTCCAGCCTGGGTAACAAGAGCGAAACTCCGTCTCAAAAAAAAAAAAAAATACAAATACAAAAATGAGCTTGGCATGGTGGTGCATGCCTGTAGTCCCAGCTACTCGGGAGGCTAAGCCAGGAGAATTGCTTGAACCCAGGAGGTGGAGGTTGCAGTGAGCCAAGAGCGAGCCACGGCACTCCAACCTAGGCAACAGAGCGAGACTCTGTCTCAGAAAAAAAAGCTAACCCTTTCTAAGCACTTGCTGTGTATCAGGCTCTGTTCTAAGGTGTTACATATATTAACTTTTTGAATTCTCACAAGACCCCTACAAGACAGGTCCCATCGTTAATCCTGTGTTTCAATTCAGATGCCAAGACAAAATTAGACATGCAAGAAATTCTGGGAGAAACACCCTCAGAGGACAAAGTGGGAGGGCACAGGAATAGGTGGTAATGCAGATCTGACACCTCTGAAAGGAGACGGGAACAGGAGGAGTAGGTAGGAAGATATTTAAACTGAAGGAGAGCCCCAAGAAAGTCTCAGCCAGGTCCATGGGGAGTCCTTCAGCAAAGACTGCCACTTGAGAAGTCCCACATTGGGCAGGACTGACCCAGCTCCAGTACTGCCATCCTGCTGGTCATTGGCTGAACAGTGCCCAAGAGGAGCGTGCCTCAGTACAAATACCACGGCAGATCAGAGGGTACAGCAACTGTAAGCTGGAAGTCAACCTTGCTCCTCACAGCAGATTCTCTTGAGCAATCTAAGCAGTGCACCTCCACGGCTACCACATTGTTTCATAGTGTGAGCACTGGGAGATTACATGCAATATTAGGCAGAGGGGATGAGAATGGTCCAGGCAAGAGACTTTCCTGCCCTCTCTTAACCTGCCCCATGGTCTAATAGAATTGACAGTAGCCTCCTTGGTGTCCCTATTGTGGCCTAGGTTTATCGCAGTGCCTGCTGTACTTCATTGCACTGCTTTTCCCCATTTTTAGACTATAAGGCCCTTGAGAGCCCAGGTTACATATTAGTCTGCCCCTGGTGCCCTGTGAATGGCACATAGCAGTACTTAGTAAATGTTAGATAAATTAAGTAATGCCAAATGAAAATATCCTGAGAAAAAAACAGAGTGAAAAAAAGCAGGGAGAATGAGCCAGAGAAGTAGGAAAAAGAAAGCTGATGAAGCTAAGAGAAGAGGGGCTTAATAAGGATCAGCAATGCAACCGGGAGGTCTGCTGAGTATGAGGAGGCTGCTGGTGCTCTTAACCGGAAGACTCAGAGAGTGAAGGGCACAGATGCCAATCTTCAGTGGACTGCTGCCTGAATTGGAGGGCAGTGAGTGGAGCCAAGTGGAGACTCTTTCAAAAGCCTGGTCTGGGAAGGAGAGGAGAGAAGGCAGTAGCGAGAGGGCAACTTAGGGATAGGCGAGTAAAATGGAAGGAGACAGTGAGGAGGAGAAAGCAGTGGAGAGAGGCATCTATTGCTCCTCCCTCCCACTCCATCTTCTTTCTCTCCGTTTCCCCTCTCTCCCCCGCCCCTTCCTTCTCTGAAGCCCTCTGCCTCTCTGCAATCTGAGAGCTCTGTGTTCTCTGGCTAGCTGCCTCTGTTCTGCCCAGTTGGCATTCCCGGTGCACTACAGTAACAGAGAGAGCTTCATCCTGTCTGTTTATTGACTAAAAGGCAATTTTCTGTTGCCAAAGATGAAAACCTACTTCCCCTGTTAGGGAGAAGCTTGGCCCTCACAGCCTCCCTGGGCTTACTATTCAGCCATTGCAGGCCTAGCAGCAAGAAGACCTGCAGAAGAGATACACCTGGCAGGATCCCAAACCCTAGGCCAAACCTGAATGTGCCTCGAATATTTCAAATATCAAACTCAAAGTGGCCTGCTTGCTTTTACAAACCAACCATTCATCTGCAAAAACTGTGCAGTTACTTTACGTTTTTGTCTTTGACTCAGATTATTTATACACAGTTCTCAAGCTGCTATTTCTTGATCAATTTTTGACATTCTCAATTAACTTCCTGCTATGGTAAAAGAGAATTCAGCTTTCTTACACCATATTGTCAGCCTCGTCCTTTCTCATCTACACTGTGCTGTCTGGCTAATTTTCTTTAATGAGTTTTGAGGTTGTGTCTATAAAAAACCTTCATAATCATACATGCATAGGTTAAGAACTTCCACTGTTTATTTCAGGCCTGCCCCATCCTGGGCTTCATCATTGCTTGAAGCTACTACTCTCCCACAAAGATCTTGAAAATCTAGGCCAGGCATGGTGGCTCACACATGTAATCCCAGCACTTGAGGAAGCTGAGGCAGGCAGATCACCTGAAGTCAGGAGTTCAAGATCAGCGTGGACAACATGACTAAGCCCCATCTCTACAAAAAAATACAAAAATTAGCTAGGTGTGGTGGCAGTGCCTGTAGCCCCAGCTACTTGGGAGGCTTAGGCACAAAAATTACTTGAATCTGGGAGATGGAGGTTGCAGTGAGCCAAGATCATGCCACTGCACTCCAGCCTAAGTGAGAGAGTAAAACTTTGCCTCAGAAAAAAAAAAAAAAAATCCTGAAAAGCTGAAACTGCCCTCTCTGCACAGCCCATCCTATCTTTGGGCCTCTTCCCCTCTCCACTATCTCTCCACTACTGGTCTCTTTCTTCTCTGCCTTCCTTTTCCTTAGCCTCTATTACTGCAATCCTCTCACAGTTTCATTCACCTCCTTATTCAGCATAGGTCTCATAGTTGGCTATTTTAGGGATGCTTCACTACCACTCCAAAGCCTATATTCTCTAGATGCCAGCTGCCAAGTGGTGCTAGAGAAAGAGCATAAAACAAACTAACCATTTATACAACAAATCAATGCTAGCCTGTCTCAGCTGGGCCCTCCCTGATACAAGGCAAACCTGTTTGCCTCCATTTGACTCCTCCCTTATTATTTCCCAACAACACCTGTTCCAAATCTTTACCAACCTTCAAATTTTCCCAGCCCCATGTTTAACTAGCTCTCCTTCCACAGATGAGCACACATGTTGCTTCCCTGCCAAAATCCAGATAAAGCTCAACCTGGACACTCTAATTCATACCCACAACATTTTGCCTGTCATCGCAGGGGGTTCCAGGACCCACTGAGGGTACCTCTGCTCTAAATGTTTCTATATTGTTCTCTATCCTCTTTCTTCTTTCTTCCTCCCTAAGACCATCCTAACCTGCCACCCCTTTAATAACCATTCTCTCTCTTCCCCATATGGCCAAAATATTCAAAGAGCAAGCACAGGCCCTCTATTTTCTTACCACCCACAAGCTTCTTGCACTTCACCTTCTATTCCCATCACCCTCTGGAAACTCTCTCACAGCTCACCAAGGCCCTATTAGCAGACAATTCCCAAGGCTTCCTCTCTCTTCTCCTCAGACTTCACTGTGATACTTAGCACTTTCCTTTTTCTTACGATTTTTTTCTGATTCTTTTTTTTTTTTTTTTTTTTTTTTTTGAGACAGAGTGTCGCTCTTGTTACCCAGGCTGGAGTGCAATGGCGCGATCTCGGCTCACCGCAACCTCCGCCTCCTGGGTTCAGGCAATTCTCCTGCCTCAGCCTCCTGAGTAGCTGGGACTACAGGCACGCGCCACCATGCCCAGCTAATTTTTTGTATTTTTAGTAGAGACGGGGTTTCACCACGTTGACCAGGATGGTCTCGATCTCTTGACCTCGTGATCCACCCGCCTCGGCCTCCCAAAGTGCTGGGATTACAGGCTTGAGCCACCGCGCCTGGCCATTTTTTTCTGATTCTTAGATTCTAACCCGGCCTTTGGTGAAAAAGGAGATTCTTTCAGATCATGCCATGCCCTCACGGGATTCTGTCTGTAACTCCCTGTCACCCATAGAATAAAGTCAAAATTGTCCAGCTTGTACACATAATAATAACAGTGAACAGTTACAGAGAACTTTCCATGCCAGGCACTGTTTGAAACCACACACACACACACACATACACACACACACACATACACACACACACATACACACACACACACACACACACTAGAGGGTATATGCAATTATTATGCCCATTTTTCACACGAGGAAACTGAAGCACAGATTAAGGCAAAAATTAAGTGACTTTTCCAAGGTGAAACAGAGTGAATAGCAGAGACAGGATCAAATCCAGAGTGTGCACCTGCAGAAGCCTTGCATCTAACCACTACACTACACTGCCTTTCCCTGGAAGACTTTTCACGGTCAGGCGGTGGCCTGTCCCTCGGCTCCTGTCTCTCACAGCCAGAAGCCATGGTTTAATCCTTCTGACTACTCAATTTGAAGAACACGCTCCTCCTTTCAGTTCTGAGATGCTCTATTCCCATTCTGCAGTTGTCACACACAGTGTCCCTTCCCCTTCTCCCCCCCAGCTCTTCCTCTCCCTTCTATACCCTAAATGCAAGGACTCCCCAGTGTGTCTTGATTGGCTTATCACAGAAGCTTTCTCACTAACCCCACTGTGTCACTCTCACTTCCCCTCCCATCCACATAGGGCTGTCTGGTTAATTTCCCTTAAAGCACAGCTCTGCCGACGTCACTCCCTGAATAATATTCAACCTACTGAAAATCTAAATCTAAAACCTTAGTTGTACAAGGCCCTCCATAACTGGATATTGACCTTTTCTCCCCCTCCTCTTTCTCATACTGCCTATGTTCCATTGAAACCAAAGAGCTTTAAAATGAAGGAAATATGGGCCAGGCGCGATGGCTCACATCTGTAATCCCAGCACTTTGGGAGGCCAAGGCGGGCAGATCACGAGGTCAAGGGATCGAGACCATCCCGGCCAACATAGTGAAACCCATCTCTACTAAAAAATACAAAAATTAACTGGGTGTGGTGGCACGTGCCTGTAGTCCCAGCTACTCAGAAGGCTGAGGCAGGAGAATTGCTTGAACCTGGGAGGCAGAGGTTGCAGTGAGCTGAGATCGCACCACTGTACTCCAGCCTGGCGCCTGATGACAGAAGACTCTGTCTCAAAAAAAAAAAAAAAAAAAAAAAAAATGAAGGAAGTATGATTTGCTGACCCTTGGAGGACAGGTGGTATCTGACAGGGTATCTGAACAAAGGCATTTCAGGCTAAGAGAAAAATGAGAGCAAAGACCTGGAACATGGAAAGTACAGAGCACTAATAAATGGTGATACCAACAAGACTACTCTAAATGATTCCCTAACTACCTTTCCTTTTCTTTCTTTCTGACAACCTCTCTGCACGAGCTTCCCTGCCCCAACTCTGATTTTGTGGATGGTGTAGAATCATAGAATCATGAGGCTGGACCCAGTGGCTCACACTGGTAATGCCAATACTTTGGAAGGCCAAGGCAGGCGGATTGCTTGAGGAGTTCGAGACCAGCCTTGGCAACATGGCGAAATCCCATCTCTATAAAAATTACAAAAGTTAAGCAGGCATTGTGGGGTGTGCCTGTAGTCCCAGCTACTCCGAAGGCTGACGTGGAGGGGAATTACTTGAGCCTGGGATGTTGAGGTTCCAATGAGCTGTGATTGCACTACTGTACTCTATCCTGGGCAACAGAGCAAGACCCTGTTTGGAAAAATTAATAAATAATAAAAAGAAGGGATAAAAAGGGTTTTTTTTGGTGTTTGTTCGTTTGTTTGTTTTGACATGGAGTCTCACTCTGTCACCAGGCTGGAGTGCAGTGGCGTGATCTTGGTTCACTGCAACCTTCACCTCCTGCACTCCAGCAATCCTCCTACCAAAGTCACCTGAGTAGCTGGGACTACAGGCACACAGCACCATGTCAGGCTAATTTTTGTATTTTTTAGTAGAGGCAGGGTTTCACCATATTAGCCAGGCTGGTCTTGAACTCCTGACCTTGTGATCCACCTGCCCTGGCCTCCCAAAGTGTTAGGATCACAGATGTGAGCCAGCGTGCCTGGCTTAAAAAATATTTTTTAAAACAGACTCATGAGGCCGGGCACAGTGGCTCATGCTTGTAATCCCAGAACTTTGGGAGGCCAAGGCAGGCAGATCACTTGGGACCAGAAGTTCAAGACCAGTCTGGCCAACATACTAAAACCTACTATTAAAAATACAAAAATTAGCCAGGTGGGGTGGTGGGCACCTGTAATCAAAGCTAGTCAAAAGGTTGAGACGGCAAAATAGCTTGAACCTGAGAGGCAGAGGCTGCAGTGAGCTGAGATCGACCCACTGCACTCCAGCGTGGAAGACAAAGTGAGACTCTTTCTCAAAAGAAAAAAATTAAAAAATAGACTCATGAGCATAGACTCTGAGGCCAGATTGCCTAGGTTCAAAATCAGCCTTTGTCATTTACTTGTTCTGCAGCCTTGGGTAAGTGAACTGGCCTCTGTTCCTGTGTGCTCATCTTCAAAACAGGAAAAAGATACCTCAGTGATTTGTTGAGAAGGTTAAATGAGTTAATGCAATACATAATTGTTAGATATTTGTATTAATATCTGGGCTTTCACAGAAGGAAATTGTGCCATGGGAATGCGTGTTATCTGGAACATTATGCCACCACTTGTCTACGTATGAATAACTCCACATATTGCAACACCCTTAATCATTTCTATTAGCTCTTTATCACTATTCTGGGCCATGCTCGTCTTTCTTCTGCTTCAAGCAGAGGACCTCTCTCTGGGCAATATAGTACATGGCAAAGTAAGAAGTAGCTTTGTTCCCTTCTTTGATTAAAATCTTCAGATCTGGGTTTGTCTACACACTCCAATCAGTTTAGTCATTGATCCTAAGGGCAAATCAGCACATGGCTCCCCGAACTGATCCACCATGACATTCTTTTCTTCCCACATTGGAAATACAGCCTAAGTATTCTTAAAGTCAATAATTGTTTTTTCTTTTTCTTTTTTTTTTTTTTTTTTTTTTTGACAGGGTCTCACTCTGTCGCCCAGGCTGGAGTACAGTGGTGCATCCTGGGCTCAGGTGATCCTCCCACTTCAGCCTCCCAAGTAGCTGGGACCACAGGTGTGTACCACCACACCTAGCTAATTTTTTGTACTTTTTTGTAGAGACAAGGTTTCACCATGTTGCCAACACTGGTCTCAAACTCCTAAGCTCACAGGATCCTTGCGCCTCAGTCTCTCAGAGTTCTGGGATATTGGCCCAATCACAGAAGGCCACTTTCCACTTACCCAAAGTTTCACGAATTTATCCCACAGTTATCAGCATTCACCCTGAAAGAGCTTGTTTTCCCCGCTGCCAAGATTCCAGTTTTCAGAATGTACCTAGAGTTCCTATTTGTAAGTATGAAATCACCCCCAACCTGTAACCAGTACTCTCTCAAACTCCACAGGAGTAAAGATCAAAAAAGCAGAGCAAGCAATCATGACGAAATTTCTTTCAGGAATCAAAGCTGAAGGATCTTTTAAGATAATAAAAAATCATGGCCGGGTGCGGTGGCTCACGCCTGTAATCCCAGCACTTTGGGAGGCCGAGGCGGGTGGATCACGAGGTCAAGAGATTGAGACCATCCTGGTCAACATGGTGAAACCCCGTCTCTACTAAAAATACAAAAATTAGCTGGGCATGGTGGCGCACGCCTGTAGTCCCAGCTACTAGGGAGGCTGAGGCAGGAGAATTGCTTGAACCCAGGAGGCAGAGTTTGCGGTGAGCCGAGATCGCGCCATTGCACTCCAACCTGGGTAACAAGAGCGACACTCTGCCTCAAAAAAAAAAAAAAAAAAAAAAATCATAATCAAAACCTGTCTCCAAACAGACTGTATCTGCTACACACACACACACACACACCCCTCTACACACCTGGCTTGCTCAGGAAGAGTCCAGTCCTGGAGATTTGAAAGGACTTCTTTGCACATCAGGCAGCAGTCGGTTTCCTGCCCCCACTGCTGCCCGCCGGACCTTTACCCTGCTTTCATAACACCTCCCTCTTGTGGTAAGAGTCCAGGCTACTCCACTCCCTCATGGGGTTCTCACCAATGTCATCCTTGATCAGCTGCAGAATCAGTTCTGTTATTGCCAAAACGAAAAGCAGAAAGAAAGAAAAAAGCTGCCTGACCAGACAGTCTTGTGTGCTCCTCAGCCCCCATCCTCTTTTTTTTTTTTTTTTGAGACAGACTATTACTCAGGCTAAAGTGCAGTGGCACAATCTTGGCTCACTGCAACCTCTGCCTCCTGGGTTCAAGCAATTCTCCTGCCTCAGCCTCTGGAGTAGCTGGAATTACAGGCACTGGGATTTTTGTATTTTTACTAGAGATGGGGTTTTACCATGTTGGCCAGACTGATTTCAAGCTCCAGCCTTGGCCTCCCAAAATGCTGAAATTACAGGTATGAGCTGCCCACCTGGCTCTCTAATTTATTATTGAGACAGGGTTCCCTCTGTCACCCAGGCTGGAGTGTAGTAGCACAATCTGGGCTCACTGAAGCCTCGACCTCACAGGCTCAAGTGATCCTCCCACCTCAGCCTCCAGAGTAGCCAGGACTAAAGGGAAATGCCACCATGCCCCACATATTTTTGTATTTTTATTTTGGAGAGATGGGATTACACCAGCTTGCACAGTCTTCTCTCAAACTCCTAGGCTCAAGAGATCTGCCTGCCTTAGCTTCGTAAAGTGCTAGGATTACAGGCATGTACAACCGTGCCTGGCCTCATCCTCTAATTTAAATCGAAACACTGGGATGCAAATCTCCTGCTAGAGTGGGGTTGGAGGGCAGGTTGATTTTAGTAAAGCCCACTTCTTAAGACTGCCACCCTGAGATCAGCTACTGCAAACTGGGGCTGGCTCAGTCACTTTTCTTTCTTTTTTTTTAGATGGGATGTAGCTATGTCACCAGGCTGGAGTGCAGTGGTGTGATCTCAGCTCACTGCAACCTCTGTCTCCTGGGTTCAAGCAATTCCCCTGGCTGAGCCTGCTGAATACCTGGGACTGAACACACATGCCACCATACCCAGCTAATTTTTGTATTTTTAGTAGAGACGGGGTTTCACCATGTTGGCCAGGATGGTCTTGATCTCCTGACCTCGTGATCCACCCGCCTCGGCCTCCCAAAGTGCTGGGATTAGAGGCATGAGCCACTGCACCCAGCCAAAATGACAACTTTATTGAGGCACAATTCACATATCATACAGTTCACTCTTTTGAAGTGTACAATTCAGTGGGTTTTAGTATATTCACAGGGTTGTACAACAATCATCACTATCTACTTTCAGAACACTTTTATTACCCCAAAAGAACCCCATACTCCTTAGCAGTCCCCTCCCATTCTTTCCTCCCCCACCCCACACCTGGCAACCAGTAATCTACTTTCCATGTTTATGGATTTCCCTATTATGGACATTTCATATAAATGGAATCACACAATATGTGGCCTTTGTGACTGGCTTCTTTTGTTTAGCATAATGTTTTCAAGGTTCTTCTTTGTTGTATCATATATCGGTACTTTATTTTAATGTCTGAATCATATTCCCTTGTACAGATATTCCACACTTTGTTTATGTATTCATCAGTTGATAAACATTTAGGTTGTTTCTGGTTTTTTTTGTTATTATGTATAATACTGAATATTTACATACAGATTTTTTGTGTGGACATATGCCTTCAATTCTCTTGGATATATACCCTAGACGTCAAATTGCTGGGTCAAATGATAACTCCATTGTTAACGTTTTGAAGAAGTGTCCAACTGTTTTCCAAAGAGGCTGCACCATTTTACTACCTCACCAGCTTCACATGAGGGTTCCAAATTCTCCCTCCACATGCTCACCAATATTTATTATCTTTTTTTAAATTTAATTTAATTTAATTTTATTTTATTTTTGAAAAGGAGTCTCGCTCTTCTGCCCAGGCTACTTAAATCTTTTGCTCATTTTTCATTTTATATTAAATGTGAGGAGTCACAATACACCCCATAGTAAAATCGTACTTAGGGATAATCACAGTAGTACCTAAAACTCAACATATTCAAACAAAATAATGACGATTCACTGTAATCTGGTCCTCCTTCTTATTTTCATGTTATTGCCTATCTGCACATGTATTCAACAAACACTCAACAAATTTACTAAATGCCTAATAGATGCCAGACAACTCCCATCCAGCCAGTTGCCCAAGTCTGAAACCTGGGAATCATCCTAGACTCCTTCCTCATCCCCCATGTCCAGTCAATATTAATTCTACCTCCTTAAGTCATTATGTCCATCCCATCCCTTCCATCTCCATTTTACTGCCTTAGTTCAGGCCATGAGTATTTCTCACCTGGATTCTGGCAATAGTCTGCTAGGACTGTTCCACCTCTAGTTGTTCTCTCCCCTCCTATTTGCCCTCTACAGGGTTCCAGAGTTTATTTATAAAACATAACTCTGAATTAGCCAGGCATGGTTGTGGGTGCCTGTAATCTCAGCTACTCAGAAGGCTGAGGCAGGAGAATCCCTTGAACCCAGGAGGTAGAGGTTGCAATGAGCCAAGATCATGCCACCCTACTCCAGCTTCAGTGACAGTGTAAGACTCTGTCTCAAAAAAGAAAAAAAAAAGGCCAGGCACAGTGGCTCAAGCCTGTAATCCCAGCACTTTGGGAGGCCGAGGCGGGTGGATCACGAGGTCGAGAGATCGAGACCATCCTGGTCAACATGGTGAAACCCCGTCTCTACTAAAAATACAAAAAATTAGCTGGGCATGGTGGCGCGTGCCTGTAATCCCAGCTACTCAGGAGGCTGAGGCAGGAGAATTGCCTGAACCCAGGAGGCGGAGGTTGCGGTGAGCCGAGATCACGCCATTGCACTCTAGCATGGGTAACAAGAGCAAAACTCCATCTCAAAAAGAAAAAAGAAAAAGAAAAAACATAACTCTGAGGCCAAAGACAGTGTCTCACTCCTATAATCCCAGGACTTTGGGAAGCCAAGGTGGGAGGATCACTTGAGCCCAGGACTTCAAGATCAGCCTGGCCAACATGGTGAAACACCATCTCTACACAAAATGCAAAAATTAGCCAGGTGTGGTGTCGCACACCTATGATCCCAGCTACTCGGGAGGCCAAGGTGGGAGGATCACCTGAGCCTGGGAAGGTTGAAGCTACAGTAAACTGTGATCATGCCACTGCACCCCAGCTTAGATGACAGTTAGACCCTGTCTCAAAAATAAATAAATAAATAAATAAATCACAACTCTGATTATATTTCTACTCTGCTTAAAAAACCCTTCCATGGGCCAGACATGGTGGCTTCTGCCTGTAATCCCAGCACTTTGGGAGGCCGAGGCAGGTGAATCACTTTAGGTCAGGAGTTTGAGACCAACCTGGCCAACATGACACAACCCCATCTCTATTAACAACACGAAAAAATTAGTTGGGAATGGTGGCACACACCTATAATTCCAGCTACTCAGGAGGCTGACACATGAGAATCACTTGAACTCAAGTGTCATCACTTGAGCTGAGATCACGTCACTGCACTCCAGCCTAGGTGACAGAGTGAGACTATGTCTTAAAAAAAAAAAAAAAGACGTGGCTTTTCATTGTCTTCAGACAAATCCAAATTCCTGAAGGAACGAGGCTTGATGTTATGCTTTAATTTGAATCTACCGATATTTTATTTCAAGTAGTCTACCAGGAGAAAGCTAAAGCCAAAAGATACACAGCTTTGTGGCTAACAGGAGAATCTACACATTATTTATATCGGCAGATTGCTTATCTAAAGTCTAGTAGGTTAATGTATAGTTTCGGTTTTAAAAATTCAGTTTCCTATACCAAACCCATCAAGTAGATTAAAGAGCAATTGCAATGCCCCAGAAATGTTTAACAGGTATTGATCGACTTACGACCATTCGACTTTACGACCACAATCGCTAGCCACGACTGCTCCGCGTCTGGAAGCGCAAACGTTGCCCAGCTGGGCATATGACAGTGCGGACCAGCTTCTGGCAGCACTACCATCTCCGCATGCACCATTTCAACTGTACATATAGCCTACTCAACTTACGACTGTTCTGCTGTCCCAACCGAGGTCATAAGTCGAGCACTGCCTGTACTGGCTTCATAATCAGCATGTGCTCTGTTAGAGAGAACATTCCTGTGAGATCAATCTAAAACTTTAGCATTTAAACAAATATGAAAGCACTCTCTGCTGCTTTTCAATAGTTCATGATAACAAGAGACAGAGCTTATCATATTTAAACTGAGCTGTGACTTTGGCCCCATCTCCTTTTGTTCATTATGCTCCTGGGTAAATAGAACATATTTGAAACTGTCCTTATAAACCTTTTAAAATTAATCAGGAAAGAAGGCAGGGAAAGAAATGAAAATAAACCAAGCTTACAACACACTCACATTTAATCATTAGGTCAGCTGGCTCTCTGACCTACTTTCTCATAGTTGTTTAGTGCCTATTGTCCTAGAATCACATAGACCGAATAGTATAGTTTCCCTTAATTGCTCTATTATAGATAACAAGTTCGACATTAAAAAGTGGTTTTCCATTGGAGATATCCTTTTGGTCCTGCATGCCAGTGAAACTAATGATATCAGCTGATCTGAAGGACCCCATTGACATCAGCAGTTCTGAAGGATCCCTGACTCACCAAAGAATGCAGACACTCAATGACTACAATTTTCCAGCCCCTCACTCTCCACAATCCCCTTAAAAACCCCAGCCCAGAACTCCTCAGGGAGATGGACTTGATCTTCTCCCATCTCCTTGCTCAGCCACCCTGCAATCATTAAACTCTTTCTCTGCTGCAAACCCAACTATCTCAGTGTATTGGTCTGTTGCTGTGCAGTGGGCATACAAACCTGCTGGTCCTGTAACATATTCTCTAGCCTCTCTTCTTTATTTTATTAACAAGGAAAACAACTAACATAGGAGTACTTCAAGTTTTCAAGCAACTTACTTGTTTTAACAGGATTTTAACTCCCAAGGCTTCTCATCAAATATTGATAAGATCAACAGTTTATTTTCATTTTAACCAAATAAAGTAGATGATGAATAATTTTGACTTCCGCATTCCTTAACTTGGCAG